TCGAGAGTCATTACGAATCGTCTCGCGCGCAGACTTGACGACTTCCAGCCTCCCGAACAAGCCGGTTTCCGAAAAGGCTTTAGCACCATAGACCACATACATACCCTTCGGCAAATTGTACAGAAGTCCGAGGAGTACAATTTGCCACTATGTCTGGCGTATGTGGACTATGAGAAAGCCTTTGATTCCGTCGAAATTTGGGCGGTGCTGCAGTCCCTTCAGCGATGCCAAGTTGACTGTCGGTATATCGAAGTGTTGAAGTGCTTGTACAGTAGGGCTACGATGGCTATCCGAGTACAGAACCAGAGTACGAAACCTATCCAATTGCGTAAGACAGGGTGACGTCATATCCCCGAAACTCTTTACCGCTGCATTGGAAGATGTTTTCAAGCTTCTGGACTGGAAAGGATACGGTATAAACATCAATGGCGAGTACATCACTCACCTTCGATTTGCCGACGATATAGTCCTTATGGCAGAATCGCTGGAGGACCTAAGCACTATGCTCAATGACCTCAATAGTGTTTCCCAACGGATAGGTCTTAAGATGAACATGGACAAAACAAAGATCATGTTTAATGTCCATGTCACACCTATGCCGGTAGTTGTTGGGAACACTAAGCTCGAAGTTGTTGACGAGTATGTTTACCTGGGACAAATAGTCCGACTAGGTAAGTCCAACTTCGACCAGGAGTCAATCGACGGATTCAACTCGGCTGGGCAGCGTTCGGGAAGCTACGACACATCTTCTCGTCAGGTATACCTCAAAACTTGAAAACGAGACTGTACACCCAGTGCGTGTTGCCAGTGATGACATACGGAAATGAGACGTGGTCCTTCACTGCTGGCCGGATGAGGAAGCTCAAGGTCGCTCAGCGAGCTATGGAGAGGGCTATGCTCGGAGTTTCCCTGCGTGATAACCTCAGAAATGAGGATATCCGCAGTAGAACTAGAGTGACCGACATAGCCCAACGGATTAGTAAGCTGAAGTGGCAATGGGCCGGCCATATAGCTCGAAGAACCGACAACCGATGGGGAAGAAAGGTTTTCGAGTGGCAGCCTCGTACCGGCAGGCGAAGTGTAGGGCGTCCCCCCACTAGATGGAGTGACGACCTGGTAAGATATGCAGGAAGTCGATGGATGCAGGTGGCTCAGGACCGTGCTTTGTGGCATTCTTTGGGGGAGGCCTATGTTCAGCAGTGGACTTGTGAAGGGCTGTAATGATGATGATGATGATGCATTTCATAGAAAGCTGTCATTACAAAAAGACACTTCAATATTATTTATGTATAAATAAACATATAATATTTTTCTATGCTACGAAAGGTGTTATTGAATTATATTCTTAATCAGCTGCATTTATATTTGGATCCTTCATTTTCTGATAATAAGCAACAATGTTTCAAATAAAGTAACGTGTTATCCATCGAATGCAGGCTTACTTAGTACTGTACAAATGCATGCAACGGAGAATAAAATGCTAAAAGTTTTTAATGTCGGAAATGCTCGTCTTAAGATGGAACGTTACTGGTTAACTACTGGCTATGATAATTCTAAAATGGAGAATTACCGGATAGTTTGAAAACAAGATTCCAAGTTTATTATTTACACAAAAACAGTAAATACTCGAACAGTAAATATTTTAAACGGTTTAGCAATTTAACTTATATTTGTACGGAAATTGTACAACCAAACGAAATTGTACAACCAGTGCGTGTTGCCAGTGATGACTTACGGAACTGAGACGTGGTCCTTCACTGCTGGCCGTATGAGGAAGCTCAAGGTCGCTCAGCGAGCTATGGAGAGGGCTATGCTTGGAGTTTCTCTGCGTGATAAACTTAGGAATGAGGATATCCGCAGTAGAACCAGAGTAACCGACATAGCCCAACGAATTAGTAAGCTGAAGTGGCAGTGGGCCGGCCATATAGCTCGAAGAACCGACAACCGATGGGGAAGAAAGGTTCTCGAGTGGCAGCCTCGTACCGGTAGGCGAAGTGTAGGGCGTCCCCCCCACGAGATGAAGTGACGACCTGGTAAGACATGCAGGAAGTCGATGGATGCAGTTGGCTCAGGACCGTGCTTTGTGGCATTCTTTGGGGGAGGCCTATGTTCAGCAGTGGACTTGTAAAGGGCTGTAATGATGATGAATGATGATTGTACGGTAAGTGATCCGATTAATATAAATAATTACACCTTACTTTTGGCAAATGTAATGTTTTTCCAACATAACATACAACAAGGGTCTGTTTCGAGTTCACCAACATTTTACGCCAGTATTTAGGTTAAGGCGCAGGTTGAGCAAAATGTCGCGCTAGTCGTTATTTGTGCGGTTTTTAGGAGCTATCTACTTTTTATTTAAAAGATATATCAACAAATAAAAAACACATTATATTTCTACATAATCTTGATTTCATAAAAGCTATATCCAATTTTTTTTAAAGGAATAAATATTAATACGAGTATAATCTCCTTACAACGAAACCACATAAATGTGAAATTATTATTGATAACATGCATCTCCTCGTAAAGTAAGTATTATTTTATTTTGCGATTTACACCAATGGATAGGCAATTTATTAATGAACATTTCTATAGTAAATTTTTTTTCAAAAGACCAAAATTTGATTTTATTATGAAATTATTTTAAAATCAGGTCAGGTTAGGTTATGAAATGCTAAATATATGTGCTAACTTTATTAATATGTGGTCAGTTCACATTACTTTCTATGGTACTTTGGGGTTATTCAGTGGATCTCTCAACGCTATTTTAATTTATTCATGGTTAACGCTTATATCAATGTAATGTGGCCCCGTACATATACACCTCAATCCTCAACCTACTGTTACTGATATTGCAAGATTGGTGTAATGTTTTATTTTTATTTGGTTTATGAGCGTTGAGAGGTCGACGGAATAATCTCAAACTATCCTTTCTTTTACTTACCAATAAATACTCACCAAATAACGTCGTCTCTTTATTGTTTTATTACTTATAACGAAGACAATAGTGCGTTATTATTAACAACCAGTAAAAAGTGGTAAAATTAAAAATTTAGTACCACCGACTTCAATATAAATTAAATGAGAACATCATCAATGTAGTCGAAGTCAATTAAATACGCATTATTAAGGACAACTCACAATTACTGGTCTGATATTGATCAAATTTATATGTATATATATTACATACATATGAGAAGCACCAGCGTTCAAATAAAAAAGAATCATCAAAATCGGTTCAAATAGAAACAAAATCTGAGATAACACACATAAAAAAATAAATTCGAATTGAGAACCTCCTCCATTTTTTGAAGTCGGTAGAAAATTATGAAATTTCACAGTTTCCATCACATTTACCAAATCATAAGATAACTATAAATAATAACCGGTTATTATTAATACTAACCACACTAATTACCTTGACCGTAACACATTCATCTACCTGATGAAAAGGCAAATCTTCATTCCATATATTTATATACTTATCTAATTTATTAATTGAAGTGAACTGTTTGACATCCCGATGTCAGTTAGCCCGGTTACCTTCCATACCGGTTACTAATAATATTAATTTTATAAAATTACAGATATAACATAAACACACGCACACGTATGTCGACGTGTGTATGTTTATTTCAATTTAGTATTATATTGAAATAAACACACACACACACACATACACACACACATACACACACACACACATACACATACACACACTATATATGAATATATTATAATAAATTAGTTCTTGGTAATAAAAATATTATGATTTATGACTGCGGTGGAATTCATTTTATATAAATAAATTCGACCGCAGTAAGCGAGAACACGTCCTTAATAATTATTGAGGTTCATAAAAACATGTATGCAAAAAAAGACATTATGCAAAAAAACTTGGGATTATTTTAGACACGCTCAAAAGAATAAGCTGAGATATATCCCATAGACATCTACATTTATCGTCGATTAAGAATCACAATGCAGATGCGATGTCACCCCTGAGGAGTTAGATGGGAAACCTCGTTTGCAGTAAAAAGGTTCTCCAGTTCTCTAAGCATCACCACCATCACCATAACACAACAGCATTAAGCTGCTATTTTACTCTGGTATTTCTGTGAGAGTGTGGTCCTTCCCCGGTCGAGCCGACCCGTTCGTGCTACAACTATACAATTAATACAGCTGCAGCGTGGCTCTACCGCTAACACTGTTGTGTTTCGTATGGTGAGTGTAGAGAACCGGAGACCCTTTTTACTGGAAACGAGGCATTCCATCTTAATCGTCACGGGTGACAACGAATCTGCATTTTAATTCGCAAACGAGGATAGATGTAGATGTCTATGGGCTACAGCAACCACTTACCATCAGGTGGACTGTGTGCTCGTTTGTCACCCTATTCTATAAAAAATATAAGGGGTCAGAATAATCAGTCAGCGCTTTATCTCTCTCCGGTCGTGCTCGTGTAGCTTTGCCGTCCCAACTGATTATGAGAGTGAGGGAATAGAGAATACACCTGTGCTTGCGCACATACACTCAGGCACTATAATCCTCTACTGCGCAGATGGCTTGTTGAAACTGGCAGCCGTGACCGATTTTCGGTCTTAAAAACATAATTACTATTATTATTATTTCAAAATTATTATTATTATTACTTGTAATGGTTTATTACTTACTAGTTATTCCCCGCTACTTCACCCGCGAAGGATTTTTTTAAGATTGGATTGCATAGATTTTAATTTTTTTGATTCTAATTTTTTTCTAAAATATTATAACAACAGCTATCTGCCAGTGAAAATCTCGTCGAAATCAGTCCAGCCATTTTGAAGATTATCAGGAACAAACAGACAGACAAAAATTATTAAAATTGTTTTATGTTATAAGTACCGTATATACTTTCATATGCATTTAGTATAAAGCAGTTATTTTGACATTACAAACAGACACTTCAATTTTATTTATTTGTAGAGATATAAAAACGAATATCAAACAAACAGACTTACCGACAGTCATGAAGAGCAATTTGACACCAGATTCGAAGTGGTATTTCGAAGGCTCGGTGTAATACAGCCTGTGGTAGATGAGGTCGTACCCCTCACATGACTTTTCTGGCAGGAAGGAGAACTCTCTGAAAAGGTATTAGTATATTAATTACTTTTTATTTATTCACTTTAAAAGTTACAGCCCGTATACGTCCAACTGCTGGGCACAGGCCTCCTCTCATATCTGAGAGGGTTTAAGGGCAATGAAGTGTCCGCCGCGCTGCCCCAATGTGTGTTCGCGAACTTCATATGTCTTCGAAATACTTTTTTTTTCTTATTTCTCAGACATGCAAAACGCCGCCGAGCACGTGGTAAATCAGCACTTAAAATTGCGATTAAGAAATTCATTGGTGCCGGCGGGGATCGAACCCGGGTTGCTCGCGTACTGTGAACTTTACCGCGAGCGCTAACCATCTGAGCTACCACAGCTCTATTTATTCATATATTATAACTTATTATATCACACCCACCACCGAACCTCTCGATACATATCTAGATTACGTAGCAATACTTTTTTTAAAGAATAGGGCTGACAAACAGGCACACAGTCCACCTGATGTTAAGTGATTACTGTGGCCCATAGACATCTACATTTATCCTCGATAAAGAATCAAAATGAAGATGCGCTGTCACTCCTGCGGACTAAGATGGAATGACTTGGTTCCAGTAAAAAGGGTCTCTGGTTCTCTTCTTACACACACCATTCGAAACACAGCAGTATTTAGCTGCTATTTCATGCTGGTATTCTGTGAGAGCGGCGTCCTACCCCGGTCGAGTCGACCCAATCGTGGTACAACTAACATAGCTGCCAGCTAACATACCTAACCACGTATAAACATTGATCAATGTCCGCTCCATTCATTAAATAATTTGTATAAATGTCTTCACTGGCATAAAATAAATTCATACATAGGTAGGGCTCCGTATCTACCAAGGAGTTTGGTTAGGAACCACCTCCCTCTTACTTACTGCTGCCATCAATTAGCCATGTTTGCACAGCTGTGTTCCAATCTGAAGGATATAGGCTGTAAGGCCTACTAGCCTACTCCTTTCTAAAAGGCCGGCAACGCATCTGCCCTGGTGTTGCAGTTGTTCACGGTAGTCACTTACCATCAGGGGAGCCGCATGCTCGTTTGCCCCCTCTCCTATAAAAAAGGCATACTAGCTATTAGGAATACTAGATAGTAAAACTCCTTATCTGCCAAGAAGTCTGTCTGGGTAAGCACCACACTCTTACATACTTCTGCCAACAAACAACAATGTGGCACTTCTGTACTCCGGTCTTAAGGTTAAACAGAGTACGTATAATTGTACGTGGTAGAGCCACGCTGCAGCTGTATTATAGTTATAGCAGGAGTGGGTCGGCTGGACCGGTGTAGAACCACGCTCTTAAATAATATGACGTATGGAAACAGAAACTTTTTTATTCAATATAGATTATAAATAATACTTATTGAAAGTCACGCTTTTGTTCAATTACCACTGGTTCGAAAAAAAACCTCTGTCCTGGGAAGAACCAGCAAGAAACCCAGTGGGACGTTTTTTTTTAAATAACAGCTTACTATCATGTATGTTACACAAATTAACAACACAACAAATTAGAAATAGCTTGGTAGCGATCACCTCATTTCCAGGGGTTATTATTATCCATAAATTCTTTAATATTGTAATAACACTTTTTATACAAACTTAGTTTAATAAAGTTTTTGAACTTTGAGCAGATCAAATTTTGTATATTTTCTGGAATTTTGTTGTAAAATGGTGAGTGTAGAGAACCGGAGACCCTTTTAACTGGAAACGAGGTGTTCCATCTTAGTCACAACGCATCTGCAATTTGATTCTTTTAATCGAGGATAACTGTAGATGTCTAGGAGCCACAGCAACCACTTACCATCAAGTGGACTGTGTGCTCGTTTGTCACCGTTATCCTATAAAAAAGGCTGTGTGGCATTCCACCTTAGTTCTCAAAGAGGTGACAACGCAACTGCAGCCTTATTTATTTGAAGTTGATTGGTTGGTTGGTCAGCTGCAGGTTTCCATGGGTTGAAAAAGCCATATTTTCATGTCACTTTAATTTTATTAAAAAAATTTACAAAGTAACGCGTATAAGGTAAAAAGAAGTTAAAGAGTATGCTGTTGAGTTACAACTAAAGTCCAAAAAGATGTGTCAAATTTACACAAGGCCAAAGGCCCTGTAGTCATCGGGATATAAATATAACATTTGAGCTTTCGCTTTAATAAGAAAATATTGGAGACAGACGTTATACGTAATATGAAGGTCACGCAGCTCTCTACGTTAAAGCTTATACTTTAGGAGAGTATGTGGCCAGCCACTCGCGCTCATATTGCGCCAGTCCTTTGACTAGCGCCCAAAAAACCGACAAAACAGGGAGCGATGGGCATGATGAGGCATGACGTGCGGCATGACAAGTATTGTGGCAACACTACGTCTATGCCTCTTTCCCTCGCTACTTCCCATGCCACTCGACGAGTGTGTGGCCGAGATTTAAGATGTAAGTCTCACAGCCTTTTTCTTACATAGTAGAGCCATGCTGCATCTATATTAGCAGTATAGTTGTAGCACGAATGGGTCGGCTCGACCGGGGAAGTACCACGCTCCCACAGAATACCAGCGTAAAATAACAGCTTAACGTTGCTGTGTTTCGTATGGTGAGTGTAGAGAACCGGAGACCCTTTTAGTGGGAACGAGGCATTCCATCTTAGTCCTCACGGGTGACAACGCGTCTGCATTGGATTCGTAATTTAGGATAGATGTAGATGTCTATGGACCACAGCAACCACTTACCATCAGGTGGACTGTGTGTTCGTTTGTCACACTTATCCTATAAAAATATTATTACTAATAATAATTTTCATAAATTAAAACTCAGAACAACAGTAGCTACAATTACATTTAGTAATTACCAAGTTACATTACTAAGAGAATCTCTAGTTTCGTTTTTATATACACAACCAGTTCTAGTTTTCTCGTTTTTATAGAATATGGGTGAACAAATGTGATGATGATGAAAAGAGTGAAATAAAAAAAACAATACGAAATACAGCAGCATTTGGCTGCTATTTTACGCTGGTATTGTGTGACAACGTGGCCCTACCTCGGTAGAGTCGACCCATTCTTGCTACAACCATAATATAGCTGCAGCATGGCGCTACCACGTACAAAAGTTTCAATGATTGTCTTATTTAAGAACAATAACAACAATTAGATGATAATAAGTAATACCAGAATGAAACGATGATGGTTAAACCCTTTTCTTCTGACTTATTTATTCAATTTGCTCTAGTCACACACAGAAAAAGTTGAAGTCTATCAGATTCAAAGCTGTCTTTTTTTACCTTTTCAGTAATTACCAGACTTACATACATCTACACATATACTTAATTAAAACAGTCTTCCTGTAGCATCGAAATAACTGCCTCAGTGGATTATTTGTATTCTATTCAGACATAAATAACTATTTATGAAATTTTTATCCGTCTGTTTGTCTGTCGGTCTGTCCGGGCTGAACCAAATGTGATGAGACTTTACGAACAGATACAGAGTAATGCCAGGAGTGATCTAAATATGTTTTATGCGAAAACATAAAGGATTATTGTGTTATAAAAACTGATAAAATTAATAGTTTTTGATGATTAACTCATTCACTTGTAAGAGATGTAAGAAGTATAAGAAAAAAACTTTTTGGTTTGCAATTTTAAGCATGTCTTCTTACTTCAAAAACATTTTATATCAAAGCCAACCGTGTTAAAGGATAAACAAATAAGACTTTGTTACGTAAAATTAACAGATCTATACAAATAAATCAAATTGAAGTGTCTGTTTGTAATGTCAAAACAAAATAACAGCTTTTTAATAAATGCGTACGAAAGCGTATACGGTAATTATAACAAAAAATCTGTCTGTTTGCTGCAACTGATCTCCGAAATGACTGGAACGGTTTTGATGGGACTTTCACTGGCAGATAGCAGATGTTATAAGGAGTAACTTAGGTTACTTTCATTTTAGAAAAAGAATTAGAGATCCTCGGAAAAAAAAAGTTAAAACCCATGAAATCTAATCTTAACGAATTCCACGCGGACGAAGTCGCGGGAAAGAACTAGTCTTCAATTATTATGACAGTTGAACTACTTGCCTAAAGTAGGACTATTCCAATTGTTGTCAAAAAGTTTTGAAACTTGTCATCTGTCAGGCGACATCCGACATCATTGCTATAACACAGGGTTTCTCAAAGTAGAGTACGCGGACCCCTAGGGGTTCACCAATAGATTGTAGGGGGAACGCGAAAAAAATTACGTTATGGCGGCTGACTGGATGGGTGACGCGTGTTATACACATGATGGTGCACGTCAGTTGTATATTATGTAATTAATAGAATCAGGCGTTACTTTGCGGAAATCCATTATATAAAAGTTTTAGAAAAATTTACTTCGCAAATATCCGCGTTATAAAATAAAATGATGTTACCTAGTATGAAGAGCATACTGCTCTTCATACTAGGTAACATCATTTATGGATTATTATTATGGATACTCTATGGTGCACGTGCGACAAGGAAACACCGCGCTTGCTTGCGACTTCGGCGTGACTTAATTCAATGGAGCAGGATGCACAGGGCGAAGGTGTTTCGGGCGTTACTTGTTATTTCACCACACTAATTTAAAACATATTGTCCTTTGTGACTTTAATTTAAATTAAATAAACACTATTTTCGTTTTTTTAGGGGTTCACTATTGTCTAGGAAATTTTAATAGGGGGTACTTGTAGGCTATAAGTTTGAGAAAGCCCGTCACAACCCAATAAAGTTTCAACAAAAAACTCTCAACGTGGTAAAATAGTAGCTTAACACTTTCACTGTCCGGTTTGCAGACACAATAGTAAGACAATAGCAATGACCTATATGTAGTGCACGGGACAGCGAAAGGGTTAAATCACTGTTTCATATGGCTAGTGTAGGGAATCAAAGACCCGATGATCCTTTTTACTGGTGTCGAGATAGAGATAAACAACTGAACAATATACAATTTGTACACTAAAGTGATGTAATCGTTCGAGCAAATAAAGCGC